ACTATATATATATATATATATCAATTAAAATAGTCTTTAATTCCCCACCTATACCACTTCCATCTTCCATTTGTTGATGTTCTGGGGCCAGGTCAACCAGTAACTATTTGTTAGCATGACCTTAATCCTACCTCATTATCTATGTTCTTTCATTAAAAATTCCAATGTATCATAACATCAGTGCAGGTTGCAAAAGCTGCAGAGGAGGAAGAAGAGGGGGAAGAACTTTGCCCCATTAAATTCAGTACAAAAGATTTGGAGATGTTTCTCTCTCCCATTGAAATAAAGCAGCTCCGTAGTTCATAATAAACTAGACTATGAATAGAATCCCAGTCTTATTCTTTCTTACTTGCACAGACCTGGAATATTTAAGCTAGGCGCATAAAGTCATAGATTAAATAAACACCCTTGAGTTTATAGTTTGCCTTTCGGCCAGAGAACAGGGCTTGACATCCTGAAGCCAGGCCAAAGTTTGCAATAAGGTTTTTCAGTCACAGATTCCCAGCCAATGTACTGCCTGAGACCACTCACTCTTGTACATCTCCCCCAAAGCACTGGGGGAGATCTCCAGAGTTGTGGTAAAATTGTAATTTTTAATGCAGCAAGACAAATTATTAAATGCATAGAGAACATTTTAAACTGCATTAAGTAGAATTAACACTGAATTAAATCTTGTGTCATTTCCCCTCCCTTATTTTTCTTTTCTAAACTCGCTCACTTTTTGGAGTGTGGCCCGTAGCATGCCGCTCAAGGATGTCCGTGTGGGGGAAGGTGTAAAAAAAGTGAAGATAGCAGCCACAATCGTTTTTTGTGGGCATCACAAAAGTTAACCTTTTGAACCCCACCCTCTGGACATCCTTGATGCCATTCAACCATTAGTTCTCTTAAACCATTGTTTTAATAGTTTGCAAGCTGATCTAAATAGTGAACCAGGTCTGCAGGTCCCTGGTAAATGTTTTAAATACAATAATCTACTATTTAGGTTTGTATCAAACATGCTCTTAGATAAATAAAAAGTGCTTTGTTCATAGCTCAGGGGTGATGTTTTGGAGGTCACACTTCCATTTGGATTATAGGAGCCATTGAAGAATCTTATTTTTTTTCACCATGTTTCAAAACTGGTTGGCCACTTTTTAAAAAAAACATCTCAAATCTCTTTTTGAAATATGTAGAATTCTGCTTAGAGATTTAACTTTTTGTTGTATTTTTAAAATATGCTCCCAACTGGCACAACTAAATCCATCTCCTCTGATATGAAAGTGGAGCAAACACTTAACTTTCTTTCTCTAGAATCAACACAAAAGTACTTTGCTGTAGCTCAGTTGTGCCCTATCTGGATGATCAGTGTCATTATAAAATATTGATAAAATATCAATGGAAAAGATATTTAAACTTCAATTTATACCGTTTTAAAGTAGCATATGTTGTCTAGTGTTACATCAATTTTAAAAGGGTCTCTAAAAGGCTTTTGGTTTGCAATTGCACTTCATTTTTAAAAATGCATTTATTTTTCAACCTTTCAAAAAGAATTCGGCCAATTTTCTCCTCTTCAGTACAAAATCAGTGCAAAATGGAACTAGCTATGGAATGGAACAGAGGAGATTTAAAAACTTACCCAATTTCCCACCCCATCTTTCTGAATAATTCAAAAGCTCAAATTTGGTAGAAAGTTAATACCGTATGAACGAATAATTTACTGCAAAGGCAGACTATGGAAAGTTATTGTTGCCTTAGAAACTCTTTAACTCTGGATTTCCTGCCTAGGAATCTAGGTGATTCCAACTTTACTTTGTAAACATTGCATCAATATTCTTTGCGCATGATTAATGCAGTTAGTTTTTAGCCAGGAAAAAGCTGCTTGAAAAGTTTCCCTCAGTCTCAATTTCCCTCGGTCTCTAACTAATGTGGAAAAAGTTTCCATGCACAAAGAAAAAGAGGAGGGAAAAACACCCTTCTGCATTGTGCCATTTTTTCCTGTAAAAAGGCTGACTTGTGACAGATATCTTAATGTACCTGAGACAACTAATTAAAGGAGGAAGTGGTCAAAGTCATTCTTCTTTGACTTCAAAGGTGATCCCTCGCCTTCCTCCTCTTTACATTTTACTGTCTGTCTCTCTGCAGCTGTCAACCTACCCTGAGTTTCATGGCGTCAAACCTGCCTCCTCCTGCTCCATAAAGTGACAGCAGAGGGTTCGTGGAATGCAGGTGTAGGAAAGGGAAAAGCACAGGATGAGCCTGCTAATGATTTCTCTGACACCCCATGCTGGGCTGCTAAAGAAAGAGATCTATGCCCACTTCTTTCTGTTTGGTCAGATACTCTAGGCTGGGCTGCTTCTCCCCACTGCAAAGGGGCTGGTTTTTCAGGGCAAGGACTCTGTACTAAAATGGTGGCACCTTACACAATGTTTGAAAACTTCGAGGCTTTAATTAGATACTGAAGTGGAGACACACGGCACCAAAGGCTTTTATTTTCTTGATAACTTCACTCTGCAAAAGCTTCATTCAGTGTCAACTCCATTACTGCTTAGATTGGTTGATGAATGGAGGAAGGCAAACAAAAATCTCCTGTTCTGCAGACATCACGCACCTTGCTCCTGGCCTAGCAAAAAATTAGGGTCAGGAGTATTCATTGCTATAAATGCTCTACTATTCAGCTAGTCCTCTTGCTTTTTCATTCACTGTCATGTAAGCGCAATGAATCCAGATCTGGGTTGCATGTTGGATAGGAAGATTCAAATTTTCCTCTCTGTATCTTCCAGATATGGATTAAAAGAAGGAAGCAACAGCTGCAGTTGAAAACCCACTTATTAGTCACTAAGCCACATTGCAGACAATAAAAGTTATCTTGCAAGTAAAAAATGATTGCACTGCATGCCTTCATGAAACCAATGGAATATATTAGCCATGATTAACTAGAGACTTTGCTTTTAAGGAGAGGTAGCAACCATCATTCAGCTAGGATGGTTGTATTTTATTCATACTGAAAAAAATATTCCTGACTTACACCTAATATTGCTGCGGATGGCATACTGAACTAAATTAGCCTGATGTCACCTTGCTAGTATGTTCCTCTAAACTAATCATTAAAAACCCAGACATTTAAAATAATTTCAAACATTATGTCAGATACTAAGTTTTTATAAAATAAAATGCAGTTGTGCCTGATCGTTTAAAAAGCCTACAGGGTAGACATTAGAAACACTGAAGGTTGCTTAAAATCTTTACTTGTCCTACCTAAAGATGAATCTTTGTAATACTATCTCAATGTAATGCAATGAAAAAAAGAACAGCGCTAGGTTCTGAGCTTCTTTGAGACAAGAAACATCTGAAAACTGCAGTGTAAGTCCTACAGTAAGTTTAACACCATTTAAAAAACAAGTATCAATTTCTTCCCCAGCATCACCCACCAGTGGGGTGCAATTTGTATCATTGTCCCACCCACTGTAGTTCTTGCCCTTCCCCAGTATGTTAGTTGTGACACCTGCTGCCCAAAGTTTTGCCTCACAAAGTTCTTCAACTTACACTGTGCAGCTATATTGGATTTCAACTCCCATGGTGCCCAGCCAGCATGGCCAAAAACCAATAGGACTAGGCATTATGGGAGTTGACCCAACACATTAGCAGGACATCAGGTTTAGGTTGAGAATATTGGCCATAGTATATATATGCTGGCTCTATGGAGGGAAAGTATAATATACTCCCTGCTCTCTCTCCCAAGTCATTTATCAATGGAATGACATTTTCCTCACCTTCACTAAAACAGTCTACTCTTAATTCAAAATGCATCTCCCACTAAGCCTGACTAGTGAGGATTACCCACTTCCCACTGGATATCTCTGCGGCCTGTTCGCCACCACTGATCAAATGCTTAGCTGTCTGGTGGGCTGCAGAATTTACATGCTCTGAGCAGCTTACAACATCTTGCCAATGACATAATTACAAGGCTGTGAATTGGGATTTAGATCACATGCATAGCTTCATTACAGTACATAGCCCTGCATGAACTGTGGTATGAAAGAGTTCGTTCTAAACGCTAAAGGCATATTTGTACCAGCTCAGATTCTTGGAAGCAATTATAGAAATCATCATACTTCCACACTAATTTCCAAATCTTGTAAAGCTGGTGCTAATTCATTTGAGAAAGGGCTTGGCAATGTTCCCCCACCTTTTAACAAATGTGACTATATACAGACCCATAAATTTTCACTCATAAGCTCTTCATTTGTTTTTGTTTTTTTTCCCCCTGCTTGTTTCTGATCTTATTTGGGTCCTGCCCACTTTATGATTTCACAACAGAGTCTAAAGATGCTCTTAAAAATAGTTCTAAACATAATAAATAAAGAAGCCAGAAGACATAAACAGCTGTGCATTGCCCATATTAGAAATGCACACATATTATCTTCATAGCAAACCATTATGGAATGATACTATCCAGTGAGGTCCCCCATTTATCCCAGCATCTCCTGCTATTGGTGTATGAAGGGACACACAGTTATATTTGTTTAGATTACTTAAACTGACACACCGTAAGAACAGCATATATTTTAACTGAAGAAAGTTTAAATGTGGAGGAAGTAAAGAATAGATCTAGAAAACAATTACAGTGGGGCAAAAAAGTATTTAGTCAGCCACCAATTGTGCAAGTTCTCCCACT